CGAATGTAAACATAGATTTTCCCCTCATCTTCCCCCAAAGGGTGGTATACTATTGCCATCGTTTTGTCCCTCTGTTTTCTTTCATACTTAACCTCCGCCTTGGAAATGATCCCACGTAGGGACACAGAGAACTTCCTCATTCTTCCCTGCGGTACCGTGTTATTTTGATTAAACACCCTGCCCTTCGCGGTTCGTCCAGGAAGTAGAGGCTGAACTGGATCTTTGTACCTGTCTGCAGGTCATTATGGGAGGGGCCGACCGGACACATTTGTGTCTTCCAGCCAGGTCTTTTCACCGAGGCACGCTGTGAAGGTCCACAGTTGGAAATAAGAGCCGCGGCGGGGGTGGGGGAAAGTGAAGAAAACCCGCCAGGCCACGAGTGTCTCCAAATAGCCTTAGGGGTCATGCACAAGAGAAGTGCTGCAGTGAAATAACTGTCCTGTGTGGGTAAACATGCAGCAGCTAGGGACTATCCTAAAAGAGTCGCCTCTCAGAGGTCATTTCTCTTCCCAAATGTGAGGCTGTACTTAATATCTCTGCAGCAGCCTTGCAGGCAGAACGGGAAAAATGGAAGTGAAGGCCTTGCTCTCACTGGAGTCTTTGAAGGGAGAATGGGACAGAAAGGGCGCTAATCCCCAGGAGAGGGTGCTGGGAAGCCTCGAGGCTAGTCAGTGAGGGACTCTGATCTCTTGGACTCTGATTCTAGCAGAATGTATCTATTATGCCGTGGGCTTCGGTCCACATTTCTTTTTTTTTTTTTTTGTCCTGGTGCTCTCTCCATCTTGACAGCCCTTTCGTCCTTTTGTCTGTCCAGTTGCATGCTTTAACCCGGTCACAGGGGTTGCTTCCCCACAAGTTAAGCTGCAGATGGAATTTTCCCAAGGCCGGTGCCTCTTAAGAAGATGAAGTCAATGGAGTAGAATTGATTGCTCTCTAATACACATTTGGGATCTGGAAAGACCTGGGTTTAACAAAAAGCTATTTGGGGTTAGAAGGAAAAATAAACGACAGACTCAAATCCACAAAGAGGAAGCAGATACTCTGAGAGTTCAAGTTAGGGGCCGGTGAGGTAAGGGAATCCCCTCCCTTTTGAAATATTTACCAGGGATAAGAATCACATTTCATATTCAATTTTAAGGTACTTTTCATAACCATGGAAATTTCTTTAAAGTGTATCTATCATTATTCCCCTTTTGTGTTCCTTTTTTTAAAAATTTATTTTCCAAATCCTATTCTGATAAAAGTGGAGTCCTTTTTTTTTTTTTTCCATGTAACTTACAACCAAGCCTGTTTTTCTTACAAAAGATGCTCACTGGCATCTTTTGTTTTGCTCATCATTGGGGATGGGCTAATGACAGCTTAAAAAAAAAAACACACAGCACATTTATTACTTGGATGTTCTTGTACAGTTTGTTTTAGGATAACTCATATAGCAGATATTGAAGTAGAGTCTTATCTCTTAGAGATCCTCCAGCCTGCTAGACTTTATGCTGGTCTTATTTCGGGTCTTTGAGTGGCCTTAAATTAGCTAAAGACCTGTCAGGAGGAAATGAGAAAATGCAGGGAGAATTTTAACAAGGTCCTGGCCCATAGTAAGCCCTGACAAATGTTAGTTGTTATCAGTACCTATGGAATGGCCATAATTAAGCCACCTCCCCCAACTTCAGAGGCATCAATTGAAGACCAAAGACTGTGTGTGCATATGAAGGACTATGTGCAGATAATCTGCCTCATGCACAGAGGACACTGTCAGTGTGGGTCATTGACAGGGAATTCAGAAGTAAATCCTACGCTCCCATACATGGCATGCCCTTGAACACCACAGAAGCTCACTTTGCTGGTATTCGTCTCCTCTGAGCTTTTATGGAGGCCCGGGAGGGGAAGAAGACTCCACAAGAGTATTTGCTGCCCATCAAGTCGGCCATCTCATTCTGTGACGGTCACCGAAGGCTGTTTGCCAGGAAGGGGGCTTGGTGCTCTGTGAAGGGTTCCCTTGGGCAGATTCTGAGTCTCAGTCCAGTGCTGGTTTGGGCTGTCTCCCTGGGGAAAGAAATGTGGAGAAGAACTGACATCACCCCTCTAGACTAGACAGAAAAAGTAGGGAGGAAGAATCTAGAGTGGTAGAACCGATCGAGGATGTTTTTCTCTGAAAATCAGACGATATCACGGAAGAAAGTTGGCCTTATTAAAAGTGGAGGATAAAGTGGTGTAGCGGTTGAAAAACAGCAATCAGCTGTCTGGAGATTCGACATAGAGAGCTACTCTGTAATCTGGACCCAGGTAAGAGGGGCGACGGCAAAGGCCATGTCCTTCCAGAGACTCTGAGAAACTACAACAGTGAGATTCAGTGAAGCCTGGTGGGGGGGGGGGGAATACCCTTGGGCCTGCATTTGTCAGGTACCAAGCTGAGTTTTTATTTTCACTTTACTCCTAACAACTTTTGATGACAGTTTTGCGATAGTGGTGGATGAGCCTTCTAACAGATAGGCCAGGGCGTGGGACTCTGAAACACCAACGTGGGATGCTGACCGTCTCCTGAGGCCGACGTGTTGGTCTCACTGTGCTCATCACTGCCTGGCTGACCTTGAACAACCCCTGCCTCTCTGTGGACCTGTTTCCTTATCTGTAAAATGAGGGGATAGGACTTGATTCATTCATTCACAGAAGACTTTTTTTCAACCAAATTGCCCTGACTAGAACCTCTCCTGCAGTATTTAACAGAAGTGGCCAGAATGGACATATCTGACCTGTTTTTGACCTTAGGGGGAAAGCGTTCAGTCTCTCATCATTAAGTATGGTATTAGCTGGGAGTTTTTCATAGATGTCCTTTTCCAGTTGGATTAGTGCTATTGTAATCCTAGTTTATGTAGCATTTTTGTCATAATAGGGGGCCATATTTTGTCAATTCCTTTTTCTGCATCTATATGGTTTTGTCCTTTACTGATATGATGGATTACATTCATCGATTTTTGGATATTAAACTAACCTTGAATTCCTGGGATCGATCACACTCGGGGATGGTCAATAATCCTACAGATTTGACTTGCTAATATTTTTTGAGAGTTTTTGCATCTATAATTATAAGGGATATTGGTGTGTAGTTTTTAAATATA